AGTACTTTCCATAATTTAGCAAATATGAGTCAAATGAGGCACTTGGCAGAGGAGTCACCGATATACTTGATAATGAGTAAGAATCTTTTTATATTTACTTTCACTGTTTTCTTTCCTCTTGAAGATTTTATGGGAAAGAAAGAATCCATTCAAAAGGCAATGTGTATATTCAGTTATGCCAGTAGGTAGTGTATTTAGATAGTGTAAATGGTGTATTTTTCTTCTTTTATCTCATGTTCCATGCACCTGCAATATTTTTTTCATCGTAACTATGTATCTTAAATGTGGAACATGTATTGAGAAAGACCAGCATTTCTCCCCTGGCATATCATGGGCCTTTCAAAAATATGTTACTTTGGGGAAAAAAAAAATTGGAAAAATATCATTCAAAAAAGGGTATGAAACTGCTTGACATTGACCATTTCTTCATGTCTTTGTTTCATCACGTAAGGATTTATACTGCTGACCTGGAATATGTAATATATCAGGATAGTCGATCTCATTTCACAGTGAAAGCCGTGCAGGAGTCTCATCCTCAGCAGTCATTCTCGGCTCCTTCCCGATCCCTGTATGGGTCACACGTACTGCTGACCCAAGTGGTGAGTTCTTTCATCACAGAATGGATGCAGCGGTCCCGCTTACGTAGTGCAGTGCTGCAGATGCTGCATTGGTGTAACTGATGGAAGCGATCGACTGCAGTGTGTAGACAGGAGCGAGTAGTTCATGTGGGGAACTGAGATCTCCTAAGGTGCCTTTGCTGCTGGTGTGTAAATGCATCCTCAGGCACCCTGATAGTACTACAGGGTTTGAGCTCTGTGTGAAGTTCCAGTCACCTCATACTAGGCTAGTGCTCCATGATACCTGCTGCAGTGTTTTTCAATGTAGGGCTAATTGCTCTAAAGTAGACTTGCTGTTTCTTGAAGCACAGGTATACTTGAATGAATCACTGTTGGTTCAAATCACTTGGGTCTGTGGGATCCTGTCTGACAATTTTAGTTAGGATTGTGAAGCTGCATTTGGAAGGCACCTTCTTCCTCATTGTTCACCTCTCCTGGAGATAAGATGAGGAGACCTCTTTGAGTGTGAATGAACTGTATGTACCTGAGCCTTTTATAATGCGTAACTTGAGAACAGTTCCTTCTGTAAGCAAGCAAACACTTAAGTGAGGATCAAGGTCTTGGCCAACTGGTAGATCTTGGTAGCAAGCTAACTAGAGGGCAATATTATATTTGGAATAGGTGGGTGCTACACCAGTGCTTTCTAGAGTTGAGGTGGGGGCACAATGGTGCTCAAGGTGTTCAAGGCCAGGTTGGACAGGGCTTTGGCAACCTGGTCTGGTGCGAGGTGTCCCTGCCCGCGGCAGGGGGTTGGACTGGATGAGCTTTAAGGTCCCTTCCAACCCAAACCATTCTATGATTCTATGGTGTTAAAGCTCTCATTTTTTGAGGGAGGATGAAGGAAAGTTAGAGTGGTGACTGTGTGCAAGAAGTGTTGTCTAGGACACTGATGTCTTGCCTTTGAGAAATCTATGTGGTGACTTTTAACAGTATCTTGCTTTTCTGGATGTTTTGGCTTTGTTATAAATCTCATTTTATAACTGTGTCTTTGAAATAGAGAAGTTTTTTTTTTCTCTCCTGTAAATTTTTATTGTCCAAAATGTCTAATCAGGTTCCACCAAGGAATGTATAGCAGCAGCCTTTAAGAGTATGGCTGTAATACTATCTCCTATGATCAAATTTATCTAGTTCAGAGATCATCTTTGTACCGTTCTTGCAGAAGGGACAGCTATGTCTTCACCACAAAAACTTGATTTATAAAAGATTAGTGTATAACTAAATGCTCATCTTTGAGAATATTCTTGTGATGCTAGTATCTGTAATGTTTTCATGGAAATGCTTCAGTACTTGATTTCTTGCAAGAGATTCTCATTGCTTTTTTAGTGTGTGTGTTTTGTTTTAGTGGGTTTGTGTTTAACTATATTTAATTTACTGTGAAATATTTCAGAGGGACTCAGACTTGGTGTTAATTATACTTTACTGTTGGCCATTATCTCGCATTTTTCCATCCCCACAGTCTCTAAGTGAGTAAATGTTACCTTCTTTGCAGATATTACCAGTTTAAAAAAGGCATTGATTGTAAAATAACACAAGCTATTTTCTTGCCTTGAAAAAATTCAAGCTGTAACATGAAATAATGTTTAGCTTAAAACAAGTAAAAGTATGTCTAGATACCACTCATGTATTTTACAAGTTTTTTTCCAACTGATCACTGAACATGATTTTTTTGATGCATATTCTAGTATTGAGAAACTTAGTTGAAATTTGTCTTTGTTTGCAGAGAAAGCCACCTGAGTGTGCTAGCACGTTACAGAACAGCTTTCTTCTCAAACGTGTGAACAGAAAGGATATTTTCTACTCCATTTTTAAATGGTAAGTTGCTCAAGGGAGCCCTTATTGAACCTACCTTGTCACTTACTTTGCATTTGTGTGAATCTATTGCAAATAGCTTTGAAAACTGTCCTGAAAGTCCTGAAACTGAAAACCAGTGATGAAGTTTGGAAACTGTCTGGAAGATTCTGAGTTAGCCTTGGGAAAGAGGTTTTTATTTTTGTGTTGTTAAAGATGTGCTTTATTAGACTCTGAAACAAATGTCAAAAGTACTGCTAGCCCAGGAGGCTGGTATCATTTAAACACTGATCTTATTGTGTAGAAAGCAGAAATAAACTTACTTTAAATTCCTGGTTGTTCATGAGATATTAGATTTATCAATTTGCATCTCTTAATTACTTTTACCCTGTATAATCTGTACTTTGCTGATGTGTTGTCTTAGAGATTTAAACTAAATCTGCTGAGGTTAAATGTTTGACTGTTCGACTCAAAGTGCAACGGATAATAAAAGATTTATATTTATTGATATTAAACTAGCTTTGTGGGAGAAATCCCCCCACTCCGCAATCTGTCTCAGCTGCAGCGCAGACACCACAGACTTTGAGATGGAGTATCTGTTGTGTTGGTGGAAGACTATGAAAACAGTTGTGTTGCACTTCCTTCACCGTGTGCTGTAAGATGTGAGCCACACTCGGTGATGCTAATGAAGGAATACTGCCAAAGCACAGACAATTTTGTTAGAAGTAAAGCTGATATATATAAAACTTATATTTTTTTAGGGTGCTGCAACTTGTCTGCTTCTGGAGTGGCAAGGAGAAACCTTTTGAGCAGGGGAAGAAGCTGGAGAACAGGTTTGTTGCTCTTCCTTCTGAGAGAATGAGGAGGTTAAAAGTAGTGTTAGTTACTGATAGGAGAGACCGCTTTCTTCCGGCATTGCACACCACAGTGCTGCCTTTGGCAGAAACCACAGCCAGCCTTGCTTCAAGTTCTGTGAAAAAAGCAAAGAATGCAGCAGCATTCCTAGATTATTATATTAGCATATTGCTTATTTAATGGAACAGTGAGGTTTATTCCTCTTAATATACTGTATTTGCAGATGTCCTTGTATCACATAGGTGTGCACGCATTCATGTGTGTGCAAAAGTCTCTCCAGTAGGTAATTCATACCTGTGAATTTTTTATTTGTTTTATAAGCTTAACGGCTGTTGCAGCACTGTTGTGTTTCAGTTGCATTTCATGCTGCATGGGAACATCATTGTTTGCTTTTATTCATGGGAGGTTGTAGAAATTAGTTGTTAAAGGAATAAGAACCTAGATTTAGGAATGTTTTACTTGGTTGTATTTTTTCGTAGAACTTCAAACATTATTTTGAGATATTTGCTATTCCTACTCAGTGTAGTATTATCGAATATTTTCTGTTTCTTTGTTCAGTGTGAGCACAACTTTCATGTAGAGTTTAATTGAAATGTATTTAGTGTTCAATAGTCTGGAGTCTATTGTAGCTGGAGGGTATTTAAAGACAATGCTGAACATATTTGAAAATAATCAGCCTTTGTTTAAAAAAGTATTAAAACCTAATTTTAGTAAAGATAATAAATTCTAATGTTTGGTTGGACACTGATCATTCATGTATCACAAATGTTCTAATAGGACATACAATTTGGAAACTCTGCCTGATCAATAATGTTATAAGCTTGTATTTAAAATAATGATTGATTTCTACAGAAATGTAGTATTTTCTTTTTAAATTTTCACTTCAAAAAAATTCACTTAAGAGTCATAATTAAAAATTTAAATGGCTTAATTTGTCTGATTTGCATGCATAGTAAAGCATTTTTATTTTAAATCAGGTAATTCATTTTGTCACTTGAATTATAATTGTGCCTTGTCTTTTCTTGCTTCTCTGGTATCTTTTATAAATGCCCTCAAAAGTTGTCAAGTTGCTCAAAATAGAACTGTTAGATGTTTCTGAAAGCTGCCAATCTCTTACCATACCATCCTGCGTAAGTGGCATGCAGTGGCTTTTCTAAACGTCCATGGTAATCCTGCAAAACTACAGTACAGAAGTGTCTCCCACAAAGAAAGTTGCAGAACGTATAGTCAGGAAAGAAATACCAAATGCAGGGCTTGAAAAGGGACCCTGATGCTTACCAGCCCCAAATGTCATTTCGCTGGGCTGCCTGAAGAACTCCTTTGTTGTCACATGCAGGCAGTTCTAAGAAACACACATTTATAGTTATTTTGGCCTATAACAATGTTGTGTATGCAGTTATATGTTTTGAAGAAAGATGTCAAAGTTATGTTTGTGATTGCTGTATGGATAAGACTGTTCCAGTCTCTAGAAATACTTTTATTGTTAAAGCAGCTTGGATATTTTTAGTGAGGGTTAAACCACATTTGTCTGTAAAGACTTCTGCCTGTATTATCTGACTTTTCAGTCACATACTCTGTATTCTTTGTGACTGGTAAATTATAGAAGAATTTAGTAACTTAAATTATTAATTTAAAACAAACTATTAAGAAAAGTTTCCTCTGAATTTTCTGCAGAAGGCTTCAGTTTGCATTTTCCCTGAAGGAAAGAAGCTTTTTGGAGTAGGAGTGAGTGAGTGTGAAAGGTAGGTTGGCCAAGAGAGAGAAATAGTCTTCTGTAGAATGGTGGAAGCTTTTTGGACTACTTGGCCAGCCAAAAGCTGAAGATCGCTACTTGCATAGCAGTGGATGGAGGGAGAAATAGGACAATGTTTCACAAATGGTCTCCTGGGGAGAAAAAATGCCTATGAGAGAGAAGGGAGAAAGTATCCCAGAATCCTTGCATTGCAAATGATAGAGACAAAATGAAGTGTTACTGTTTTTGGGAGAGACCGACTTAAAACATGTTAGACAAGTCTGATCACAGATTCTGATCTTAATTAAAAGGTATGTGCACTTTCTGTGACCTTTTCTTGCTTTCTTTTTGATTTTGATATTAGACGAGGCTGAATATTTGGACTCAACTCTTGCCTGTATTGGGTTAAACTCTACTCAGCGTGCCCATATTTGTTTTGGACTTGATTGTGGAGTTGAGGGACATTGTTTTTAAATTGCCACCTGGCAAAATGGGTTTGAAGTTACTACTCAAGGACGAATAATTTGGTAAAACTGGCATCTGTGCTGTGAGAGCCTTAGCATGCCCATCATGTTTTCAAGATAGTGATATGAATGCATACAGAAATATTCATGATCACTGTCTGGGATTATGGGAAATTCAGTGCTACTTCAATACTGCCAATAAATGCAGTCATTTGCCTCTTCTCTGAACACTTCCTATGATTGGAATTGTAGAAACTTCCCTTCTGAATTACACAGCCGGTGCATAGGGATCTGCTTGAAGATGAGATTTAAATCTTGGTTGCCTGTGCAATGATTAACTAAATCAGTTTTCTAAATTTAACTGATGTACTTAAATTGCTTCTTGAATAGTGGTAGGTTAGTCTCTAATGGCTTGATTTTTTTTTTTAAATTCCATGCATGCAATTTATAATCTACAGAGACTACACTGACTGCTTTAAAAGTGTAATTAAGAGCAGTGTAAGTATTGATAGGTTTGTTACATAATTTGGTGAGGTGTATGGAAGATCCATAGGTAACTTTAAATGACAGTCTTTGAGGACCAGAGTTAACGTGTTTGTGCTGAGCGTTGCCTTATCAGTGTACAAAAACCCTGGTCTCCAATGCAGTTGCACAAGTTCTCAAACAGCCTTTGGCAGGGTGCCCACAGCTGTGGTGTTGCCTCCTAGAGCCTCAGCCCAGAGGTGGCCCCAGCAGCCCTCTTCTGGCTCAGCAGCTGACTGGTTGTAGCCTGTCAAAAAAGGATTCCTCTTGGATTGTGGGATTGCGTGAGCTCAATGTGATTTAAACTAATAATTGCATTTCACAGGAGTGTATTTTATTGCCAGGATAGCAGTGAGAGCAGTGCTGGGATGGACCAAGTTTACAGTAAACTCATTTCAGAATTCTGCATCTCTGTTTCTGTTTAGAGGAAAAAACCTCAAAACATCCTAAACACCAGCATTCTAGGATTTCGTTTCTCCCCTGTTGTTTTCACTTCATGTTTAGGTTCAAAATCTGCTTACTGGTGTTAAGAGTGAACATCTAGGAAACATTTTTCATTCAAAACAGTTCATGACAGATCAATATTGAAAATATTTTTGTTCAATATGCAAAATATTTTCAAGCAAACTAATGGCAAACTTCAGAACTAACCACTGCGGAACCAGAGTGCGGAAAATAATTAACTTTTTTTGGAAATAGGTGCCGAAATTAATTTCAAACTGCTCCCTTTAAGTTAAGGAGAGACAGCAGTTATCAGGATCTAGATGGTTGCCCTTTCCTTTTTAACTTCGGGAATAAAATTAAAGCATGTTTCATAAATAATCATTGCAGTCATATGCTTTTCCTTTTAAAGAAAATGTTAACTTGTAAAGCATTTTTATGTGTAGTTTGTATATCTATAAGATTAAATAGACTCCTTTTAAACTCCTTTATTAAAAATTATTTAATACTTAATGCTTTCAAAATTAATTTGTTCTTAAATATTTATGGGTATATGCTGTTTTTTAAACAACCACAGAAATCAATGTATACGAAGTTAGCTTGCACCAAAAGCATGAAAAAGATGGAAATGATGTAGGCATTAACTACTCATGTGGCTAAGAAGGGAAACAGAATTTGTAATGCATACATGAGATGTCATGTAAACAGTCTGTGAGACATGATGGATGCCTCTGTGGGCCTGAGGAATAAAAATATAAGACATGTCTGTTGTCTTCTATTCAACAAGATTTTGTTGACCACCTCAGTTTGCTGGGATCCCTATGTGATTTTGGGAAATGTGGCAGCATAGTGACAGAAAATTGCAACAGCTGAGCTCTTTAGTGTCGTAGGTCTGTATTCCTACCAGTAAGATGGTGCTAGGACTAGAGGGCATGACTTATGGGGAGCAGCTGGAGATACTGGGTTTCTTCAGCTTGGATAAGAGGGGGAGCAGAAAGGGAGGTGCTGAT